CTTTCTCCTTCGGCAGTGTGTAGAGTGCCTTCCAGTGTCATGAACACTAGTCAGTAGGGCTGAGGGTTCTACTTGGGTACCAGCTAGGCTTCTCCGTGTTCAGTGGGGTATTTAAGTATTGTCTTCAACAATAGGGCCTTACCATTAGTTTGCTGAAAGCAGCCAATAGCCTTGTCAATTAGCCTGAGCTGTTTGGGGGTTTCCATCCGACCCCTTTAGCAGGCAACTCAGTGAGATGTAGCCCATTCCTAGCTCTGGAGATTTCCCTTGCTGGAAAAAGCCGGGCGGTGGTGGCGCACGCCTGTAATCCCAGCACTCGGGAGGCAGAGGCAGGCGGATCTCTGTGAGTTCGAGACCAGCCTGGTCTACAGAGCTAGTTCCAGGACAGGCTCCAAAACCACAGAGAAACCTTGTCTCGAAAAAACCAAAAAAAAAAAAAAAAAAGATGTCTGGTTGGGGCTTTTATTGACTTACATGCATTTGTAATTTCTATCAGGAAGCTTCTGATTACTCTTTTGTAGTTAATTGTTGTGGATTGGAGTTACACTACTACTGTGGAAGGCCCGAACTACTTCCTGCTACCTAACTGAACTTTGGTACCCATTAGGTATCCTCTCTCAGTCACCCACATCACCACTCCTCTTAGTCCCTATGGCCATGGTTCTTCACGACTGATGTTTCGGTATTTGTCTTTCGGTGCCTGGCTTACTTCACCCAGTACCAGCAAGTCTATCCTTGTTGCTACTGATAACAGAATTCCATACTTTTTATGGGTGGATGGTATCCTTCATATATCTGTCACATATTCTTTATTTATTCATCCATCAGCAAGTACTTTGGTTTCTTCTATATCTTGGTTACTGTGAATAGTGCTGAATTAAATTATTTTTCTCATCTAATGGTTTTGTTTCCTCCGGATATTTTACCCAGTAGTAGGGCGGTTTGCATGTGGCAGTTCTATTTTTGGTTTTTAAGCCGCCTCCATACTGTTTTCCATCGTTGTCTGCACTCATTTACATTCTCATCAACAGTGGGTAAGAGTTTTGTGTCCTTGCCAGCACTTGCAGTCTACTCGTACTGAGTGAGGGGTAATTGATGCTGATCATATTTTGATATACTTGTTGACTATCTCTATGTCTTTTTATTTTTCCCATGTCCCTCTTCTTTAATAAGGCAGAGGCAGGACTGTGTACCTTAAATATCTAAGACACAGAGAGGTGACTTAAATGTTAAAGACTCCACTGGGGAAACGCCACGAATCTCTAACATGGGTCTCAAGTCAGCTTCTTGCCTCCCTGTAAGAAAATATGGCAATCTGTGTCTAACCATTTTTAATAGCCTAGGTTTCATCAAATGTGGAGTTAATTAAACACAATTCAACTAGGTGATCAAGAGACTGTATCTTCTGTTCTAAATAGGAAAACTAATTGCAGGTGATTACAAAAAGAAAATGGAAGGGGGTGTGTGTAGTGATATAGAAAAAAAAAACACATTGTAAAGCATGGCCCATCTCATTTGGTCCTTGAAATTATCGAGTCAAGATCCCCAGGCCCTGGTTGAGAGAGAGAGAGAGAGAGAGAGAGAGAGAGAGAGAGAGAGAGAGAGAGGGAGTGTAGGGATAAGTCCCGCCCCTTAGGGGGCATGTTCGCCTCGGGCTAATGTTTACCTATAAATCTGGCGAGCGGAGCTCGCTTCTGCCTTCCCAATCTCAAGGTCAAGAATATGAGAAATGAGTACCTGCCCCTATCAATGTCTAACAGATTGGGCCATGCTCTCTATCTTTTGTTTGTTTGTTTTTTTTTAATTTTTATTTTCGAGACAGGGTTTCTCCTTAGCTTTTGGTTCCTGTCCTTGTAGACCAGGCTGGCCTCGAACTCACAGAGATCCGCCTGCCTCTCTGGATATTATGGGCCTGAAGGCCGAGTGTATCTTGGACTAGGCACTGGGGCCCGAGTCAGGAACTAAAAAAAAAGGCACCCGGGAGCGTGCTGTGTTAGCTAGCGGGCTACCCGCTTGAGTCCAATCGCGCTTCCTGAGCTCCGGTAGCTAATCTTGCTCACAAAGGCTGGGAAAGATCGAGCTTGCACCTCTGTGCCAGGGTGGGGGCAAAATAGCCCAACGTTGGACGCCAAAATGTAACAGCGTAAATGAATGCAGACAGATTGTAAAAATATATACAGCTTTAATGGGGAAATAGACTTACAGAACCACCGTTCCCTTGGAGACCAGGAAAGCAGAAGTGAGCGCTGCGAGCACGCTTGCCAGATTTATAGGTAAACATTAGCCCATGCAAACATGCCCCTTAAGGGGCGGGACTTATCCCTACAGAGGAGGAGGAGGAGGAGGAGGAGGAGGAGGAGGAGGAGGAGGAGGAGGAGGAGGAGGAGGAGGAGGAGGAGGAGGAGGAGGAAAATGTTGAAGCTGTAATTTTCTGGAACAGGATCATTTGCTCCCCAAGAATCTTTGCATAGTCATGCAATGCCAGGAAGAAGGGCACACACACTGGCAAAGGAAGCATCCACCTGTCCTGCTGCAATTTGGTCAGGCTAAGGGCTGCTCCTTAGCAATGACTGGGTAGGGGAAGGTCTGATGCCTTCTCTTTTACAGGAGATTTGGTCCATCTGGACATCCTATGTAGACCTTTTTTCTGCCTCATTACCATCAAGTTGACAAAATCACCCTCCCTGCCTTCAGGGTGAAAACACCCACACCCATAACACACACACACACACACACACACACACACACACAACACACACACACACACCTTCAGTCTGAGGCAGCCCACTTTATTTTTTTTATTTTTTTTGGTTTTTCGAGACAGGGTTTCTCTGTGGCTTTGGAGCCTGTCCTGGAACTAGCTCTGTAGACCAGGCTGGTCTCGAACTCAGAGATCTGCCTGCCTCTGCCTCCCGAGTGCTGGGGTTAAAGGCGTGCGCCACCATCACCAGGCTGGATGTCAGGATGGCCGAGCGGTCTAAGGCAGCCCACTTTAGCATCAGCATAACCAAAACAAACACTTCACATTTTTTAAAAAATGGGTGTCATTAAGAAGAACTACCTATGATAGTATTAGTGGCTAATTTTCTCCTTCATCAATTCATCCGACTTGTCTAGAGTTCTAGCTACGTCATTAGGAGGTTTTTGGAAGGCACTATAGTTATACCTTGCCCTCACAGAGCTTTCAGTTTAGCATGTGTGAGAGATAAAATCATAGCAAACCACAGTGTGGTGTTAGTTAATAAAAGGAGGTCTCAGAGTGTAGATACAAAGATGCTTGAGAAGTCCTCAGGACACCAGCGAACACTGCCACATGTTGCCAAGCAACAAATGCCTCATGAAAAGAGGATTCAGACCTAGGAAAAAAACTCCCCTTTATGCAAATGGTTCTTTTGCTATCCAAGGGCACAGAAACCCCTTTTAGAAGGCTACCATATTTTTCCCTCACTGCCATGACACTCTGATGGGGCTGACTCCAGCGGCCTTGCTGTGACCCCTTGTTTACAGGTCGCATTGGGTACATGCTGTTTGACTGCTTCTCTGGGCTTGGTACACAGGCAGCGCTGGGCACCGGTCCAGTTGACGAGCTTGGCCTTCATCATTATCTTTTCACCAGAGCACAGTGTCAGCTCTGTCTCTTTCATTACGCCAGTGGTCTGCCCTAATCAAATTTGACATTCTTGTCCTCCCGTTCGTTTCCACAGCTGCCATTCCTCTGTTGCTCTCTTGCCTACTTCTTTGGGGAAAAAAAATACTGCCGAGGCAGAGCTAGAAGTGAACTGAACCGCAGAAGACTTACCTCAATAGATTTACCATTAAGAAAAAGTTAATAACATTGTAACAAAACATTAACAGATGATTATGTGGTGAAGATAGACAATGATTTGGAATCTTTAACTTGACCTATATGCCAATCAATGAGTGATTTGATTGAGAAGATCAGATTGGCCAGATATGAAAGAACAAGCAATGTTTACATATATGGATAGATACCTCTGCATCTCTGCCCTCTGGGATCTCTCCAGAATGAAAGCAGTTTGTATCCCTTTATGGAATATGTCATAACCCCAGCTGCCAGGTCTTCTCAGTCAAGCCCCCTGAGTGCTTGGCCTAGTGATAGGAATAAAACACTCTCTTCAAAGAATAAACTATCTCTGACTAAGAAAAGAAGGCTGAACATTGCATGTCCAAGAAGGACCAAACACTGGGTCAGCAAGAACTCCACGGGCATCTAGCCCAACAGTCCTCACCTGCAAATGGCTTGAATGTCTTGCCTATCTTCTTAAATGGCCCTCCCACCACACAGTGGTAAAGTGAAACACCTGGACAGCTGCAAGCATTTCTCTGAGTCCTAGCTTCCTCATCTCAGAGTGGGGAGCTACCGTGATGCCATGCGAAGTGCTTAGTAAAATGTCTGCCACATAAGGATGCTAAATTAATATTAACTAAATAACAACAATAGTATTGCTACTTCCCATACTCTACCCAAAGTCTGTGCAAGGCCGCGCCGATCCTGTGAAAGTTACATTTCCTGGCCACTCAAGACTCACTGAATTTGAATCTTGAGGTGGCTGGGGACTGAACTTTCAGCTAGATTTCTAGGTGGCCCTGATGGTAGGCCCAATGGCAACCGTTTATATTTCGTGATGTTTAAACTTTTATTTTCTTGATCTTTGGATGAGAACATGGAATCCTTTACAAGTGGTTCAGGCCTTCAAGCGTAGGTGTTAGCACAAAAATTTGGGGTGAAGAGACAGTTGCTGAACATATGCTGAGCTCCTAGGGGATGGGAAATGTACAGCTGCGTCCAAAAGAAAGGGACCAGGGATTGGCAAAACTGGGCAATGGGGTACTCATCCTTGGTGGAGATGATTAATTATGTCTAGTTTTGCATATACATTTGCATGCCTCTTAATATAACATATGCAAATCCGTCTTTAATAGCATGACTTGTTTGCCAATGTTGAATACTAACTGTAAATAATTTCTATTTTCTGTAGTGTTTAGGAAACTTCAATATGGCATTTTCTGGCAAGCTGCTTCTATCTTCTGGATTTAGCAACATATGAAGCAATCATCACAACAACATTTTTCACTTACTACTAACAAAAGAAGTCTAGACAACAATTTGTGTTTGCCTACAAAAACAAAATAGGTAAGATGCGAATAATTTAAATTTGTGAAAAAATTTAACAGATGGTCTAGTTTCCAGTTTTGTTTTCTTTGTGGAGGTTCTTGCTTAGACAGAGCAACACAGATCATTAAAAGTTTTCCTTCGGGGGCTGGAGAGATGGCTCAGAGGTTAAGAGCATTGCCTGCTCTTCCAAAGGTCCTGAGTTCAATTCCCAGCAACCACATGGTGGCTCACAACCATCTATAATGAGGTCCGGTTCCCTCTTCTGGCCTTCAGACATACACACAGAATATTGTATACATAATAAATAAATAAATATTAAAAAAAAGTTTTCCTTCGTATTGGAAGATCCTTTTTACCCTTTCTGATGATGTCATCAACAGCAAACACAGGACAGAGAATAAGATGAAGACGTAATAACCAACAGTCAGTGACTGGAAGTGCTGGTCCCTAAGTACTTACTTGTTACCTTCAGCTGCCAGACCAGTGTTCCGAATCTACAGAGGAGCTCAAGAAACTCTGGCTTGACGTGGAGACCATGTGTCCCACCTCCAGAGTTTCTGGTAGACCAGGAATTCCCCTACTCTCCCAAGGAGCCCAAGGATTTCAATACTGATAGCCCTCAAGAATACATGTAGCAACACTGCCTGGTTATACTAGGACCCTGAAACTCAGTGTGATTCTAAGGTCAGCATCGCGGCCTGAGAGTTTGGTAGAAATGTAGAATTAAGGACCCATCCCAGGCCTGTCACTTTGAGTCTGCACATCCAAGTTTCAAGAGAACTGGGCTCGCCAGATATCACAGAAGAGGTGATATCTTTCTTCTTTGCATCTACTAATCTAACATACACAGACACATACACACACACACACACACACACACACACACACACACACAAAGGTGGGGGGAGGGAGAGAGAGAACTTCCTACAGCCTCACCCTTTTAAATACCTGGTATTTTTATGGTGTGTCTCCAGACAGACATACTGAGTTGGAGACTGCGGGGAGGGTTCAGCCCTGTGTATTTCAGCACATCCCATCCCAGCTGATTCCGTTGCACACAAAGAACTGCTGGCCTAGTCAATGTTGTAGCTTGCAATTTAACACAAAGATGACTGGACTGCTTCATATATTCTAATGGAATGCCAAGTCAACGTCATCAGCTGAATGACCGTACAACTCTACTGCCATTTCCCTAGACTCAGTCACCCTTACAATATCTCTACCTCCTGCTGCTTAGGCGGAGAGGATGTCTTGACTAAGGCAAGTGTCAGAAGCGATGATCTCTTGTCGTGACTGAGGAGAGGCCAGGGTCCTAGAGCGGTATGGGCAGCCGTATTAAGTAATGGTATCAACAGATTAGTTTCAAATGAGCAATAACTTCATGATCTGAATATTTTGGAGATTACTTTCTGGAGAGGGGCATCACAGGAATGGTGTGAGTGAAAGCTCCAAGGTTAGATGTTTCTCAGAAGAGAGCCCCAGAGCATGAACTCACAGTGCAGTGTGGTTTTAAAAAAACAAAAATTCCACCACCAACTAGCTCTACGTTAGAGTGTTTCCTTCTTTCTCTGGTCCCTCTCCAAGTCATCTAGCTGTGTTCTCTGCCCATCACTTTCTCCTCAGTGTCTGTCTTCTATACTCCGTGTCCCTCAGAGTCTTTATCCTCCCTTCCCATCCAAATCTCTTTAATGAAGAGATCCACCATACCTTCCAGGGCTGCAGATGGGGTGGGTTTCCATGCAAACCACAGTAAAGGAAAGTTTTTGTTGGCACCGTTGATTTTCCCGTTCTCAGCTGTGTTATTCCTCTACTTCTCCCTTAAAATATGAGTGTTGGCTGCAGATTATCCTCATGCTGTTTCTCTATGGACCTGGAGTACTAGTCTGTCAGAATGTCAGTATACAGAACCCCTGTCAAGCGAATTGGCCGCAATAAGCAAGGCTGTTAGTTAAGAAATCATCTTGAGTATGAACTACAAGGGCAGTGGAAAGCATCTCTGAGTCGTTAATGAATGAGAGCGGGGCTAACACAGTCTTCACGCACTTTGATCTTGTGCCTTGTTAGATTTCTCACTTTTAATAATTGGGGCCAATTATTTATCCTAGGATTCCAGCATCTATCTTGGAATACTTAAAACATAAAATCAGGTTCATTTTGCTAATGTCATTTGTTGAAATGCCTATCTATCCCCTTTCTTCTTCTAGATGATGTACTCTGGACTAACTTTCTTCTTCAACTCTTTATTACAGTTTGGTTGAAAAAATGAACCCTTTGAATATTGAAAATAATTGGCAAATAAGACTATCAAATAAATTTCATGAAATTTCTTGTTGAGTTGTCTTGGACATAATCATAAAGAGATTGAGCACATAAAGAAGACATTTATCTCCTTGGAATTTTTAGTCTTTTTTGAATTATACTAAACAATGGCTCAGAAGACAAAAATATCACCTCATATCTAATTATCAAGAAACAATTTATCTTCTATGAGCATCTCAGTTATCTTATGCCCGAAGCCACTTTCTCACCTCATCCTCCTGTCTGAAATGTGGCCCTTTTGTGTGTGTTAGCATTAGGAGAAACCTTTTAGTATACGGTGGGGGTCGGGTGTAGTAACGCAGATTTACCATTTTCCCATCATTTCTTAACAGCACACTTGCCTGTAGCAGTGTTAGTGGAATGGTAGAAACTTGGTCTGGTGCGTGCGTGTGTGTGCACGCGTGTGTGTGTGCATGTGTGTCCTTCCCTCTGTGTGGTGACTCAATGTCACAGAGCTGTTTATATGACAGAGTTGGGGGTTTCCCTGGCCTCGGCGGCTGCTCTTGCAGAAAGCTTACAAATTGGAGGCACTCAGAATAAGTGGTGTCATTAGCTGCTATAAAATGTCCTAAGGGTATAGGAGTGATTTTTGAGCTCCAGTGTTTCAGGAAGAGAGGCTGACATAGGGGCTCAGGTGTCCAAGGGCACTGGGACCTGGCAGTAATGCTGAAAGGTGACCTTGGCTAAATCACTTGACCTTAGCCAGTCACCTTTGCAATAAGGTAAACATATTCATTTCACTTCTATTGAAATGTTGCCGGTTGCCGGGGCAATATTTGCCAGGCACATTGAAATCTTATTGCAGATTTGTTTGAGATAAGGTTTTGCAGAAGAGTATTTCACGTAGGCCTTTCCGCATCTAAGAGCCTGTGTCATAGAGGAAATGATTTCTGGCTCTTCAGAAATTAGATCTTTTGCAACTCAAGTTAAAAATTGCTTTCATAATTTAATTAGTATTTCATAGGCTAGGCTTGTGTTATTTTCTCATCAAATTATGGCTCATCAAAGCTAAACACAGCACCCACCTGAGTTTCTTCTTTGCAGTCACTGTTAGGCACTGTTGGGCTTCCGGAACCTCCGAGGGTTTGCATATTGGAGAGCATTGAAGGTAAGGAACACACTCTGCATTGCTGCTGTCTAACGCTGAAATATGACTAGTGTAAGTGAAAAACGTAATTTTAAACTTACTTCATCATATTCAATTACATTTAAAAATAATCAGATGAGACAGCCGCTTGATGTTACATACCTATATTCCTACCACTTGGGAGGCTGCAGCAGGAGGATTGTCCTTAGACCATGTTTAAAATGTAAATAACCATACGTTTTGATTGACGGTAAAATGAACAGTCATAAAATTATTCCCGACCATCTAACTATAAAGGGGCATGTAAAGCAGTGTTGTTTTGGATCCAGCATCTTAGGCTGAGTCCTGTTGGACAGAGAAAGGGAACAAGAAAAGGCAGGATATTCCTGGGTGAGGAGGTAGGCGAGCACTGAGGGAGAAACAAGAGCCTGGTGCTGTTACTGAACAGTTAGGCCGTTGGTCCTCTTGATGGGAACTGGAGGTCCTCATGACAGTCAAAGAGGTAGGAGCAGGTTCCGGAAGGTTAAGCAACTTTTCTGAGATCACAGAGCTAATGAGCAGCAAGCCAGTCTTTTAGAATTTAGCCCTTCCTTTAGATGCCATGTTTTCTAATCACCTCATGCCACCAAGATGGTTAAGAATCTGGACTCGGGATTTATCCAACTTTCGTCTCATTAGTTGATGACCATGAGTATCTCCAAGTCAAGGACTGAAAAAAGACACATCATTCAAAGTTGCTGGGCTCGGATTGTATGAGAAATTTTACAGCGCACCTGGCTGTGTCCGGCTTGTAGTAACAGCTCTGTCCGTCTTGACTCAGGCTTACTGTCAGCATAGACAGGAGAAACGAGAATGGGCATTAATCAACCAACCCAGCTTCTTTAAAATGAGGATTGCCATTCTAGAACTGTTAGAAAGGACAGAGGGTCCGGGTGGGAAGAGGGGAGCCAGACTGGAATTCTGGAGCCGGGCAGAGGGCTCTGAGAGGCACTGCTGTCTTCACTGAGGCTGGAGGCTCACATGAACAGAGAGAAGCAATATGACTTTCTTTCCTCTTAGAAACAAAAGCAATGCCCTGGAACTAGCTCTTGTAGACCAGGATGATCTCGAACTCACAGAGCTCCACCTACCTCTGCCTCCCAAGTGGGGACAGGCTACAAAGCCACAGAGAAACCCTGTCTCAAAAAAAAAAAAAAAAAAAAAAAAACCTAAAAACAAACAAACAAAAAAAAAGACAAAAGCAATGCACACGGATCAGGGATCATCTGAAAATCTCAGAAAGAGACAAGGAAGAAAATGTAACCTTCTGAAATACACATTAAGGAGAGGATGCTTGTTGGTATGTTGGTGTACAGCCTCCCAGTTTTTCACGTTTTCATCTGTGTGTGTCAACTCACTCTTCCATGTACAGTGTTGACCTACAGAAAATTCATATTTTTGGACTGTTATCTTTGACACTCACACAGTTACACTGTTTTCAAAAAATCTCCGTTCCTGGACTTTATCTCCAGTCCCTCCTCAAGGTCGTATCACAGTCCCCGGTGACCACAAACCTATTTTCTGTCATGTGTTTTTTCCTTTGCTGTCCTGTTGTGGGGGTGATTCACACAGG